ATGAAAAAAAAAACAAAAAGCTACAAAAGACAAAGTGGGTAGTATATTCTTTGGTACAAAAACGATAGGGAAGATTGGGATTGGGCTAATCCTTTTGCTTTGAATAATCCTATATAAAAATGTGTTGTAATGTGAAAAGGCCTATGCATTACCCAAGCCAATGCCGTATTTGATCAAATCATGAACATCTCTTCTTGGGTGGGAAAGCGACTTCTTTGGCTAGCCTACTCCAAGGACCAAGATGGAAAATTATATTAAAAAACAAAGAAGATTAATAAGAAAAGTAGTAGGCATGCTTAAAGCCAGTGTGTTTGTTGAGGATTTGTATTCTAATCACTTTCTTTTATTGAAAAAGTCTAAGCAAATTGGTTCAAACACATGCATACCAAAAGACACCTCCAACCTTAGAGAATGTGTAATGCAAGCAAGGTGTGGGGACATCTAGTCCCTCCTTTACAAGATTTTTAGTTTTCATATTAGATTTCCAAATTAAATGTAAGTAATGTAAGATATCTTAAAATTTTGGAACTCAAAGTAATTGTGATTTAAGACCAAGAAAGATAATCTGATAGAGAATTGCTTTATTTTTGTCAGTCACATGGATTTGAATTTGTGCCATGAGTATATTCAAGTTTTTGTGAATATAGCACAGGCTGTTATTTACTTATTTTCATTAGCCAATTTATAGATTTTATTAAAGTGTTTCAAATCTTTTCACTGCAATTGCTTAATCAATATTCTTAATTAATATTTTCGAAATTTTACCCATAATTTGTATGTCAATGGCATTTTGGATGGGACCCATGCATGCCCCCATTGTTTGGATAAAGTGGGTCCACTGGCATGACCCATGTCTTCACGTGGCATCTCAAAAAATTGGGTCCCACGGAACATTTGCGGATAACTATCCAACAGAAACCAAAGCTCTTATCGAAGAACCACTGACACACAACGGTCATCCCAACCCTACAGTCCCACCACGTCATCAGAGAACCGTTGATCCATTGACGTGTGTTTGACGGAACGGACACGATTAGAGCCGTTGTATAAGCTGTAATCCTACGAGTCGGCAGTCAAAGTTTGGGCGTGTGTGACTTTTGCCCTTTTAAACGACCCGGACACGCCACGTTTCTACGCTAAGAAGTTAATAAGTATACGTGGTGAGTAATAGAACTCTGCCATAAAAGTTTTAGTTACGGGATGACAACGTTTTTTTAAATATTTGTCGTTAATATTTTTACATAAGAATTAAATAAGTTATTAAATAATTCTAATATAAATAAAAAATAATTATACAAGATCAATATACTTTTATTCAATATATATTAAGAAGAAAAAGAATATGAAAGGTACTTAACCTACACTTAATCTATTAAACACTTATTAAAAAATAAAAATAAGGATAAATTTGAAAGAAAAAAATATTTATTATACTTTGGTTTCATAAAACGACATATATTATAAAAAAAAAAATTGTATAAAACGACAGATATTTAGGAATGGAAAGAGTATGTGTGAGTTAAATGGGTGATGGATAAAAAAAATAATATAAATTCATACATGACAAATTTAATAAACAGGTGAAAATTTTCAACACGAACACGACTCGTTTAATAAACGAATAACATAATACGACTCATTTAACCTATGTAATTTTAAAAAAATTATATCAACAATTTTAATATTCCACTTTTTTCACTGTCTGTTGTACTTACTTAAAAAAATAGATTTTTAATCAAATTTTACATAAAAATCAAACTTGAGAGCTAAAAAATAAAACAATAGACCACTGCCTTTTATAAACAAGTTGACTCTCCTCATTTGTCTACGTGGGACAAAAACAAAAGGATTTGGTTTAATTTTGTCTTTTGAATTGCTCCCTATCTCTCCTCCTTTGACTTTGAACTACAATTTGACTTCTTTTTTTTTGTATTGATTTCTTTTATTTTTTTGGCTAATTTTTTAAAAATAATTATTAATTTATTATTACATTAATTTTATTTAAATGAAAAAACGTATAATAAACAGTCTGACAGGTCTCACTCGAATACGACACGTTTATTAAACATATCTAGATAGTTAACCCGTTAAAATCTCACTCAAATCACTTAATTTATGTCAATTCGTATTAGTTAATCATGTCATGTCAGATTTTAACAGACTTAGTTTTAATGATGATCAGAGAAACAAAACGCACTTAAACCAGAATCTACATATTAGATATGAATGTAATTCAACCCAATTACATATTGATATAATTCATCCTCCTCAAACAATATTTTTTACCCTATCTTACCTGATAATTTAATTTTTACATTTTTTTGCTTGATTAATAAAAAAAATTAGTATTTTCGTAAAAATTTTAAAATTTTACTAAGAAATAATCTTCCGTAACTCATCGACTCGGAACATAGAATTCAAAAATTCCTATTTGTCAACTAGGGTGAACAGCCCCCTATTAATTTTATTTGTAAGAAAATGCAAGGATTTATATGTGGGCATTTATAACAATGTATTTAATCTATTCCTAAAAAAGAATATAAAATAGTTGTCATTACTAGTGGTGAGACTCATTATAAAAAGAGAAAAGTTATACTCAATATACAAGATTTTTGTCTACAATCGACTCTACGGGAGATACATGGTAATTAATATTTTTAATTGTAAAAAAATTATTTCTCAAGCTCAAATCCATGAAACTTCATAAAAATATATAATCACGTATTATTGAGAGTGAAATCTCTTCCAATACAATTTTTTGCAAATTTTCACTTTAATGAATAATTTGTTATGTATTTAAATAAAACTCATTATATATAAATAAATTTTTCATTCGTTTTAGATACGATCTCTATAATTAATACACTTTCTTCTCCTAATTAAAGGAGAGAGATATGGATATGGAGAGAGAGAGAGAGGGTCACACGGGGGGAGGTCGTTGACGGATGTGAATGTGATTTATCTCTACACACGCCAGCTGTTAACCGCATATATGAAGACCCAGTAAAGCCTTTCACCAGCTGTAAAGCCTAATCCTTACACGTGTCCGTTTGTCTTCCAATTTTTCTTTCTTTTAACACCACAAATCTACTTAATTATGGATATTTATTTAATACTAACCACAATCAAATCTATAGTACGATTCAAATTATCAACAACAACAATAATAATAAAATAATAAGACACTGGTATTTAAATTTTTTTTTGATTATATTTTTAATCATTTAAAATTTTATTTAATATATCAACATCACATCAATTGATCTCAAATTTTTATTTTTTTTTTCAGTCTAATATTGCCCATAAAAAAATTAGTTTTGTTTCTACAAAAATAACGAAAGTCATTGGTCTTCATGAAAAAAAAATTAATAATTAAATATAAAAAAATATATTTTAAGGTATTTTGAGTTGTTTTAGAATATTTTAGTATATTTCAACTAATATTTTTGAATGTTTCAATAATTTTATTTTTTTCTTTGTTTGAAATTTTTTCTAAAATATTTTTTATTTTTGAACTAATCAAAATTATATATTGAAGCAAAAATTTGGTCCTTTGTATTACCTTCCAAAATCTTTACCATACTCATTTTAAATGTATAAAAATGGGACTAAAAATATCATTATAATAATATCATTTCATTTTATTCTAATTTTCAGTCTTTATTTTTTATCAATCTAACATTACCCATATAATTGTATTCCAATTTTTTGGGTAAAAGTGTAAAATTGATCCCAAATATTTTGAACTATTCTAAAGTAATAGAAATGATCCTAATATTCATTTCTTAGTAATTTCGTTGACTAAAAATTACATTGAGAATGTCATAATTCGGCATGTCTTTAATTTAAAATGTTAGCACTAAGTTTGAATCTTTACAACTCATCAAGTAATAAAAAATTTATCTTTCATAAATAATATCTTAGTCCCGACATTATTAGTGTCCCTACGCATAAAGGTAGTCCAAAGAATTTTTTTTTTTTGTCGCGGCACCTTGATAGTTGGAAAAACAAAATGTTNCTTATATATTGAAGCAAAAATTTGGTCCTTTGTATTACCTGCCAAAATCTTTACCATACTCATTTTAAATGTATAAAAATGGGACTAAAAATATCATTATAATAATATCATTTCATTTGATTCTAATTTTCAGTCTTTATTTTTTATCAATCTAACATTACCCATATAATTGTATTCCAATTTTTTGGGTAAAAGTGTAAAATTGATCCCAAATATTTTGAACTATTCTAAAGTAATAGAAATGATCCTAATATTCATTTCTTAGTAATTTCGTTGACTAAAAATTACATTGAGAATGTCATAATTCGGCATGTCTTTAATTTAAAATGTTAGCACTAAGTTTGAATCTTTACAACTCATCAAGTAATAAAAAATTTATCTTTCATAAATAATATCTTAGTCCCGACATTATTAGTGTCCCTACGCATAAAGGTAGTCCAAAGAATTTTTTTTTTTTGTCGCGGCACCTTGATAGTTGGAAAAACAAAATGTTAGTACTGGCTTTGTGTCAGTAGATTNGAGTTTGAATCTTTACAACTCATCAAGTAATAAAAAATTTATCTTTCATGAATTTTATCTTAGTCTCGACATTATTAGTGTACCTACATATAAGGTGGTTCAAAGATTTTTTTTTTTTTTTTTTTGTCACGGCACCTTGATAGTTGGAAAAACAAAATGTTAGTACTGGCTTTGTGTCAGTAGATTATGTTTTTTGTGTAACTTTCGAAAAATTATTTTTTAAATATTTATTATACTGAAAAATAATTATAGAACCTATATCCCTATATATTTACTCCATAGACAGATAGAGATGCAGATATACATGAGAGAGAAAGTTAGACAGAGGGAGAGTTTGGTTACAGTTACAAAGTTTGATNATTATTTTTTAAATATTTATTATACTGAAAAATAATTCTAGTATAGAACCTATATCCCTATATATTTACTCCATAGACAGATAGAGATGCAGATATACATGAGAGAGAAAGTTAGACAGAGGGAGAGTTTGGTTACAGTTACAAAGTTTGATCTCAATATATTAATTGATGATCAGGAAGATAAAAATGAAGATGAAAGCCCAAAGTCAATTTTGGCCATCCACACCACCCCATTACGTAGACCCATATTTGTAAGTTGGTCGGTCTCTTCGTTCTTATCCTTATATCCCATTACCACCACCTTCCTTGTACAGAAAAGTGTTTCCATGTATGATTGTTTATGAGAATTCAATGTAGAAATTGTTGTATTTATACTATGAAAGCATTCATGATTAGTTTGTAATACCCACCGATAATAATAGCAGTTTATCACCAGAAAACAAGCGCACCCTTTAAGCCAAATCTTCATTTTCATAGCTAGTTGTGGAGTGTTTTTGCTTCATTCCTTGGATTTTTGTTTATAAACACACGATTTGTTTTCTGGGTTTTTGTCATTATGTTGTCGAGATCTTGTTTCAATCTGCTAAACCTCGAAGATTATTCGTGTGTTGATCGGACTCGGATACCGAGAGTTGTGACAGTACCGGGGATATTATCGGAGTTTGATGGCTCTTATTACGACGAGGTTGATGATAAAATTTCGGAAATAGCCCAGTCTGACGTTGTCTCGTCAGTCAGTCAAGAACGCAGAATCATTGTAGCCAACCAATTGCCAATTAAGACTTCTTGCGATCCAGAAACCAGGAAATGGTGCTTTGAATTGGACGAGGATGCTTTGGTTTTGCAACTCAAAGATGGGTTTCCAGCGGAGGTGGAAGTCATCTATGTTGGGTGTTTAAAGGCGGAGATTGCCCCATCGGAACAAGAAGAAGTGGCGCAGTTGTTGCTAGATAAATTTAGGTGCGTACCCACTTTTCTGCCGTTAGAGTTATTGAACAAATTCTATCATGGATTTTGTAAGCATTACCTTTGGCCTTTGTTTCACTACATGTTGCCTGTGACCCCAAACCATGGAGTCCGGTTTGATCGGGCTATGTGGCAGGCCTATGTATCAGCAAACAAGATTTTTGCTGATAAGGTAATGGAGGTGATCAACCCTGATGAAGATTATGTTTGGATACATGATTACCACCTCATGGTATTGCCAACTTTCTTGAGGAGAAGATTTCAAAGAGTTAGGCTCGGGTTTTTCTTGCATAGTCTCTTTCCATCATCTGAAATATATCGGACATTACCGGTGAGGGAAGAGATTTTGAGGGCCTTATTGAATTGTGATCTTATTGGTTTCCAAACATTTGATTATGCAAGGCATTTCTTATCATGTTGCAGTAGAATGCTGGGATTAGATTACCAATCCAAAAGGGGGTACATTGGTCTAGATTATTATGGTAGAACTGTGAGTATTAAGATCCTCCCGGTTGGTATTCATATGGGTCAGCTTGAATATGTTAAGTCTTTGCCGGACACCACAAAGAAGGCTCAAGAATTGAAGGAAAAGTATGAGGGGAAAATTGTGATGCTAGGTGTTGATGATACAGATATGTTTAAAGGTATTAGTTTGAAGTTTCTAGCAATGGGGCAGCTTTTAGAAGAGCACCCTCAATTCAGGGGAATAGTAGTTTTGGTCCAAATTATGAACCCTGCGAGGAGTTCAGGTAATGATATCCAAGAGGTTCAAAATGAGATCAACAAGGTTGCAGGTGAAATTAATCAGAAATATGGTAAACCTGGGTATGAGCCGATTGTTTGTGTCAATGGACCAGTTACAACCCAAGACAAAGTTGCATACCAAGCCATATCCGAATGTTGTGTGGTGAATGCTGTGAGGGATGGTATGAATTTGGTGCCTTACAAATATACAGTTTCCAGGCAGGGTAGCCCTGATATGGATAAGGCCTTGGGCCTTTACGGGTCCGAAACACATAGGAAGAGTGTTATTATTGTTTCAGAATTCATTGGATGCTCTCCATCTCTCAGTGGGGCAATTCGGGTTAATCCTTGGAACATTGATTGTGTAGCAGATGCCATGAATTTGGCAATCACAATGCCCGAGGCAGAGAAACAAATGCGCCATGAGAAGCACTATAAATATGTTAGTTCTCATGATGTCTCTTATTGGGCGAGGAGTTTTGACCAGGACCTTGAGAGAGCTTGTAGAGAACATTACTTCAAGAGATGTTGGGGCATCGGATTTGGCTTGGGTTTCAGGGTTGTCGCTTTGGGTCCTAATTTCCGGAAGCTCTCGGTGGAACACATTGTTGCTTCTTATAATAAGACTAACAGCCGGCTTATCCTTCTGGACTATGATGGTACCATGACACCGCAAGGCCAGGTGGACAAAACTCCTAGCAATGAAGTTATTTCAGTCTTGAATGGTTTGTGCAGTGATCCCAACAATGTCGTTTTTATAGTGAGTGGCAGAGGAAAGGATTCTCTGAGCAAGTGGTTTTCTCCATGTGAAAGACTTGGTCTATCTGTAGAACATGGTTACTTAACTAGGTATGTTGTGTTCTTTGATTTATTGTATCATAGTTGTGGGCTTCTTTTTGTTCTCTTTCTTATTTTGTTTCATCTCGTAATTTGACTTTCTCTTGTCATCCTTAGGTGGACTAAGCATTCCCCATGGGAGTCCTGCATGTTAGCAATAGATGCCGACTGGCAAAAGATAGCGCTACCCGTAATGGAGCATTATACAGAGGCAACAGATGGCTCTTTCATAGAGCAGAAGGAAAGTGCCATAGTTTGGCACCATCAAGAAGCTGACCCTGACTTTGGTGCATGGCAAGCAAAAGAGCTTCTTGATCACCTGGAGAATGTGCTTGCTAATGAGCCTGTAGTTGTTAAAAGAGGCCAGCACATTGTTGAAGTCAAACCACAGGTATGAAGCATATCTACTAGTCAGTATTCAAGAATTATTTGCTTTGTAATTGGGTAATTGTTTAAGTAAGTACAATGAGCGAGTTGGGAAGATCCCAATATCAATTCAAGTAAGAACAGCCGTGCAAACCNGTATTCAAGAATTATTTGCTTTGTAATTGGGTAATTGTTTAAGTAAGTAGAATGAGCGAGTTGGGAAGATCCCAATATCAATTCAAGTAAGAACAGCCGTGCAAACCACACACCCACCAACTCTCCTCTTCTTTTGGAAGAGGGCCGGACAGGGGAGTGCGAAATTCTTTAACTTATTATAAATAATATTTTAACCTGTGAGAAAACTAGGAATGAATGTTGAATTGGTAGGCTAACTCAATTGATAGATGTTTATGATATATCGATTTATAAGTCATAGGATCTGGTTTAATTTGCAAATNGGACAGGGGAGTGCGAAATTCTTTAACTTATTATAAATAATATTTTAACCTGTGAGAAAACTAGAAATGAATGTTGAATTGGTAGGCTAACTCAATTAATAGATGTTTATGATATATCGATTTATAAGTCATAGGATCTGGTTTAATTTGCAAATAATCTTGGGATGAATGTTTACTTGCTGTAACATCATTGTTGATTAAACTTCTATTAGCAATGTTTACTTGCTGTAATATCGTTGTTGATTAAACTTCTATTAGCTCTTGATGTGTACGACATTGTATCTGTTTATGTTCATGTGATGAAAACTGTGCCTATAATTCTACAATTCTGACTTCTTTTTGTATTGTTCTATTTCTTCTTGAATCTATTCCTGTGGTCTCTGCTTAGTGGTAATCATTTTTGTAAATTGCAGGGTGTGAGCAAAGGGGTAGTGGTGGAGAGTCTCATTTCAAATATGCAGAGGAGGGGGAAGTCGCCTGATTTTGTGTTGTGCATAGGGGATGATCGTTCAGATGAAGACATGTTCGAGAGCATTGCAAGTTCGGTTGTCAACCCGTCCTTGCCGGCCATAGCAGAAGTATTCGCGTGCACCGTTGGTCAGAAACCAAGTATGGCAAAATACTACCTTGATGATACCATCGAAGTCATGAAGATGCTTCAAGGCCTTGCAGCAGCATCATCACAAAAACCAAAGTCTACACATTTCCAGGTCTCGTTCGAAGGGTCTCTATAATTCAAGTCTCTGCTGTTCTATGTGAGCATTAGGCATGCGTCTTTATGTTCAAAGGGGAAAGCATAGTCTAGAGCTATCGCGAAATACAGCCTTGTACAGAACACACTTACATTTACAGGTCATTGGAAAACAAATAGTTGGAAATTTACCAAATTTGTTGATTCAATGTTTTTGCAGTATACTTGATGAATGAACTCTTCCTATCCATAACCCCCAGGAATTGAATTTTTTATTCTTTTTTGCACAGAAATCAATGACATGCCTTAAACTATGGTTAAAGTCTAGAGTTTCGGCAAAACAATTATATTTCTTGGTAATGCTTGGAACATTGATTGTAATTCCTCACTTTTTGCTCTTGCTTAAAGCAATTCAGTGTAGTTTGTTTATTATTTTTCGTTACCACAACCTGGATGTATGAATCATATCTGTTTCTGCAACACAGTCAATGAGAGATTGTTGGATGAATGAGCATTTAAGTGTGATAATGGCTTATAGAACTGTTGCTTAAATTGAATTGGGGCCTCACTACCATGCTTGTACGAGAACTAATCTGAATTTGCTTTTTTCAACAACAAAAAAATTATTATTTCAGCTGATTAGATTGTAATTGGATGAATTTCATTGTCATGATTATCGTCGTACTCACAAGTGTTTTGACTGATACATCGTAGGTTCCTTTGAAGTTCTATGACTGCCTACTTGCTTCATTGTGATGTCCAATAATGAATCTGGTATGGATAAGGCATATGTACACAGACCCTTTGATATTTCCATGCAAATGTACAGCATTTGTTGTTTCGTCATTGAACTGCAGTTACAGAGCGTCGGAAACATAAACAACAGTAGTAAAATATATTGAGAGAGAGATAGAGAGAGGGATTGTTGAGGTATTATGAAAATGACAGTTTGGTTGAATTGGAGATACAGTTTGCTCTTTGTATCTCCTTTGTGCTGAAAGTAAAGGTCCCATATCAGTAACAGAATCAAAGATTTTCAGCAGTCAATTAAAACTACTACAATAATGGCTGCAACAAGAACATTTTTATTGAGCTTGCGCATTCTAGAAGAACATTTTTGACATCTTTTTATTCAGATTGTGCATTCTAAGAGAACAATCCTTCAGCGATATTTACGAGATGGTTGATTTGTATGGCATCTTGAAGAACCAGAGTATAAAGATTGGATATGCTCTTTAGGATCTGCAGTGCTAGTAATGTCCAGAGAAGACCCAACTCTTCTGAGTGTATTAATCACTAACTTTACCTGGAAACAAGAACAAAATTTCGTTCCATTTTTACATAAATAATAGTGGTGAAACATCGGAATTCTTATGTTTGGGATGTTTCACAATGTTTCCGCTAATGTTTTGGAATCAAAATTTCAAATTTTATATTAAACAAAACAAATGTCTAAAACATCCATCTGCACTCCAGAAAAGAGAAAATAAAAAAGATTGCAGAGCATCCTCTTTAGACGCTTCTGCGTATGCATATGTGAGTGAGTGTGTGAATATATACTCTTAGAATCTTTTTTTCAGTAGCTTTCTTTGGACCGACTATTTTTGTACTTTTGTAAAGTTTCAAATTTATAAACTTAAATGATTGTTGAAAATTCAATATTTTTACCTAAAACGTAAATCACTAGTTCACTCTAATTAGTATAACATATATTTATGCTCTATTTGATAGGAAAGATTAAAAGTAGAAATGATACACTTTTTATCCTTTAAGGATAGAAAGTACGAATGATACACTTTTTTTTTTTGTGTTTGGTTGGATGGATGAAAAATAAAAAAATCTAATTTTTTTTAATTCGTTTTTGTACTGGTTAAAATTAGGAGTGACAATCTAATCGTAACGTGTTAGATTCGTGTTGAGTCATAAAATTATGAGTCTTTTATATTCCTTATTCGCGTGTCAGGTCATTTTCAAGTTCGTGTCATAAAATTCGTGTCGAGTTTGAATCGTGTCATCTGTTGAGTAGAGAATTTTTAGACTAAATAAAAATAACTATTTTTTATCGTATTAAACGGAGTATAAGTATGTTTTATACTAAATAAGAGATCCAATACATATAAAGATAAATGGTTAAATTTAAGAATTTTATTGAATTTAGTAATAAAACAATTAAACGTGACCGACAGGAATATGATTGATATTTCGAGGCTTCAAACCCAAATCTAATCTAATAATATTTTTATGACCACTGGGTCCCACTGGGGGCTGAATTCTCAAATGAGAGAGAGACAGATCAGATTTGTTGTGAGAAAAAATCAGTAGCAAATATTCAACCCTAAAAATAATATAAAAAAAGAAACATTTTTGCAGATCATGTCATTTCGGTCCTCCTTTAATTATTTTAGTCAACATTGATTTTTTTTTTTTGGTCATTAGTCAACATTGATTTGCCTTGTGGAATTTTTCTGTCTGTTTCTCATCTCATATCAATGATAGGGTGGAAAATTTCACCTGCGGATGCTTGGGTTTTCTTTTTTTTTTTTTTTCTGTTTGTTTTTTTGTTTTTAACGATGTTTGGATTAGTTTATCTACATTTCAATTAATCTTTTTTTCTATTTGGTCAGAAACAAGTTATTAACGTCGAAATTTGGGTATTCATAAAAGACAATGAGAAATTAATCTAATCTCAAAGAATTATCAAAATTTAAACTCAGAACATCATAATTTACTGATGGTTCGTTTTTTTATAAACCCAAAAAAAATTAAAAATAAAATTGATACCACTACAATCAATTTTATGCTTTATGATTCAATTTCAAAACAATAAAATTAACTGTGACGCACTATAATTTAGATACAAGAGTAATGTTATTGGGACTTAAAAATTTAATATAATTTGTTGATATAATTATGTGGCTTCTTTAAACCTATTGAATTAATTTCAAGTTCTAATGTTTGATGGAGCCCGCAGTCAATCCAAAAGTCATAATGAAATCACATCATTATGTCAAATTTTTAAGTCTCAATAATAATACTCTTAGATACAATATACAACGACGCGATATGATTCGTTATCAATTACATTTGTGTCGTTAGCCGTACATTAAGAAATGAAACTTTCCATTTCCAAGAAATATAATAGAACTAGAAATAACTCCGTTTGCAAAGACACCTGTAATATCAAAAATTGAATATTAATATTGAAATATTTTATATTTAAAATAGTGATTTATTTTTATTTTAAGAGAATTATACTCAGATTTTTTAAGATTTGTCATTTAATCACTTTGACCCCTTGACATTTAAAATATTACACATAAATCCCCTGAAATTTATACACACATAACACTTAGACCCCTGTTATAAATATATCTGTTAATAAATTATATTTCGACTCTCTAAAGTTTGTGGGTATATAATATTTAGACCCTTTAAGTTTAAAATACTATATTTAGTATTTATTAAAATAAAATGAATATTAAAATACTATGTTTTATTGTATCATTTATTAAAATAAAATCAAAAATAAAAATTCAATTTTTTGTTAAAAAATTATAATTATAAATCAAAGTAGAGAGAATGGTAAATATAAATTAATGAGATTATTTGATATTAGAAAATGTGTTAATATATTGATCGAGTTATCTAATATTAAGAATTGTATAAAAAAAATTATATTTTTGAGCAAGAAAGAAAAACTTATGATGAATTTTGTAGTATTACCTCAAAATAAATGAATATTAAATCAATCTCAGACATTGTTTTCTTATTATAAGTTGAGAATTCAACTTTCTAACTGTAATATTAGATAGATTATGAGTGTCAAGATATGACACGATCCATTAACAAAATACAAAATTGAAGGAATTTGAGTTTTCCTCGAACCATCCGTTTTGTAAATTAGTAAATCTAACAAGACACGGTTAATAAATGAATCGAATATAAGTAAAATTAATTAAAAATTTATACAATATGACTCATTTCTTTATTTATTTATTTTGAATAGAAACAATATATGTTTTATTGATACGAAATATCATAAAAGATGAAACACATCACAAAATTCGAATCACACTCTTACCATATGATTCAACCCTAAAGAAATCTTGTATATTTAACCAAGTTTGACACCACTCTATTACCATTTCTTTGGATCCTAATTATCTCGTAATAACTCAAACTCTTGAGTTCACCCCCACACACTATCCATATTTACATCTTTGGAGTCTGCATGTTCATCAGAAACTATGGCCATAATAGATTTCAAAAATTGGATAGAATCCCCTTCCAAAGTCATAGACTCTATTCCTTGAAGACCAGCAAACCTCACTGCTTCTTGAAAAAGCTATGGCTTCCACGCCTAATGCCTCTTTACTATGCACACACTTCTTAGCCATCCCTACCACGAATACCCCACTATTGTCCCTTATAACAGCTCCAACTCCCACCGCCTGCCTGCCCTTCCACAATCTCAAATCCACAAAAATTAACCTTGACTAGGCCATCTCTAAGAGGCTTCCAAGACGCAAAGATTGAAGCAGTTGAACTTTGGCCACCATATTAGTGCAGGGAAAATAGATGGAAGAATCAATTTTAGCCGATTAGCCAAAACCTTGGCCACCAGTTTATAAAGGATATTACATAAACTAATGGGACCAAACTGGGTTACATTGTCCGAATTGAGACAATTTAGAATTAAAACGACGTGGGTATAGTTAATTTTTGAAGGAAAATGACCACCATTTAAAAAATACAACACACGAGTAATTATACTCGATCCCACTACATTCTAACATTTTTGAAAAAAGAAAGGGAGCATACCATCTGGATCTCATGATTCATTTATATATCAGTTATATACACGACATAAATCTAATATAACAAAATATGTTAAACATAAAATAATAAATAAATCGGATATAAATAATTTTTTTTTTTTACACAAATTCACTAAGATCCAATGAGAATTCACCTCAACTAACACAGTTGACAAAGTCTAAATACAATAATATCCTTTTCACCGTCGATGTATGTCAAAAAAATGCCGTTTGTGAGTTTCTGTCCTTGTCTATCGGCATCGCAGTGCTTGCCAAGAACATGAATCCATGTCCAGAAGAAAATGTATAGACAATTTTCCAAAAAAAAAATTAGTGATACTTGGATTTTGAAAGATTTTAAAATTTATAATTTATACCTTAAAAAACTAAAATTGATAAAAGTNAAAAAAATTAATGATACTTGGACTTTGAAAGATTTTAAAATTTATAATTTATACCTTAAAAAACTAAAATTGATAAAAGTAGCAATAATGTTCAAAATCAAATTTTTGTTGATTTGTTTTAAATTTTTTTATCGATGTATTTTTTTTTATATTTTCCTATTTTTATACAAACTATTTGTACATTTATGTTTTTCTTTGATTGAAGATGCAATGTCAAGTCTTTAATCTTTAAAGGTGAAAATTGAGAATTTAAAATTTATTGAGGTTCAAAGTGTCATTCTCCAAAGAAAAAGGCAGAAAATAGATATTTAAATATTTAAAACATTCCATCGTAATTAAAAGCAACAACTACCACTAATCAAAGCCCCCTTTGATTAGTCCAAATTGATGAGACACGCGCGCGGACACACGGACACACACGTACACTTTCACTGGGAAGTGATCTTACACTCCAACCCCTGTTTGAGACTTCTGGGGACTTCTCAAATCTGGCACTCAGAGTTCTTCAAAGAATGTGAGAGTTCTGATAAATGTTTGTTTGGAACTCTGTAATTGAAATACCTTTAGATAGAGAAAGAGGGAGAGAGAGAGGGAGGAGATCAGTGTCATTGCTTCACTGGCATGGATTTGAAGAAAGAGAAGCAAGTCAGGTATGAAGTAAACATAATGTTTAGTTTTTACTCTTCTTTGTTTTTCTGTTTGCTAGATATGTTTGCTCGGTGGGAAAACGTGGGAAAGTATTTACTAACAACCAGGGAAAACGAGAGACTTGGGTTAAGTGTGAAGGCAACATTTTTTTTT